AAGGAGAAGGCAGAGATGTTGAAGGAAGATTTGGAGAGAAATGTGACGTTGTGTCTCCACAACAGCTTCTGCAGGAACAGAGAATCTAACGTGGATCCCCTACCTTGTTGCAAACAGATGGTAGAAGAGCAGAAGTGTTGGAGGACTGCTTCCAACAGCGTCAGAATAGCCAACGATGTGTTGCAAGACACAGAGACTGAAAGTGCAGAGTCAGTATCACAGGAGGAAGAGATGGAACATTGATGAACTGTCGAAAGAACAAGATGCAAGAAGAAAGAGAACTAGAAGAATTCAGAAGTTTTAGAAGTTCTAAACGACGAAAAGAGAAAAAACAAAGAAATGACGAAATAGGAGAAATTAAAACTCAGATTTGTTTTATGTGTGTGAAAAAACTCAAGTGAGAAACCAAGCAACTAAGTTGTAATTGAAAACTGAAACATTTAGTTGAGATTTGAACATTAAAAGAATTTGTTGCATTTATAAATTTGCATTTTGATTTTTAGTTAAGTGGCTTTACAGACACTTATTATTTATTTAGAAAGGCTCGAGTGAAGAGTATATTTAAAAATTCCAGCCTGCATGATTGTTTTTAATCACTTAGGACGACTGATCACTTTGTGGTGACATGAAAGACTTGGATAATCTCTTGAAGAGGGAGATTGTTTCATTGTTCTTTCTAACCACATAGTTTCTTAGTTTTAATATTCAGGACAACAACAAGCAAGATTTCCAAAGGGAAGGAGCATAGTAGGATAATTTTAGCTGGTTGGTTGGCAGGACTGTCCTGCAAACCGACATCTTTTAAATCTAGGAGAAAAAGTTTTTAATCAGGACATTGACATTGGAAGTTGTTGTGAAAAGATGTTTTTATCTTAGGTCATATCCTCAAGTTGCAGATTAATGAAAGAATTTGAAGGCTATAGTGGTGTAGTATGATGCCGTTTTTATTCTGCAGTGAGTCAATATGACGTGGATAAAGTAATTTCGTGCATTTTGTAAATTCTGTTCGATGCCACTGCACCAATTTTACGAACATTGCGAGATTCAATGAGGACATTGACCGGACTGTCCGGGGAGCATGTGACATTCGACCAGAATGTGCCAAAATGCAGATTCGGCGATTTCGAGTTTTTAGCAGCGAACCTTCCGAATCGGCGATTTAGAAGAATTAAGAACGTTATTAAAACGATTGGACAAATGGTGAAGGCTGAAGGATTCGGAAATTCCTAAATTTTAAATTTTCGAAGTGATGACGTAACAATTCTCAGAAACTTCAAAAACCGCCATTTTGGCAGAAAAACCGAAAAGCAACACAACAACATTAGTTGCGACGAAGATAACAACAAAAAAACTGAGGATCGGAATCAAAGAAAAACAGAAGTGACAGAGACCGCTCCGAGTTGCAACTATTGTGTCGTTACAATAGTTGCAAGGCCGTTGCGAACAACGGTGAAGGGTGTAGGACAGCCTTCCGGGAGGAAGATAAGATCTTATTTCCCCGGATTCGAGAATCCGGAGGGGTCTTGGGACTGGAACTTTTATTATCTTAAATAAACTTTTAGCTTCCCTATTATGTCCTGAATTGAAATTAATTAACAACTGACTTCATTTTGATAAAGATGAGACGCTAGGAGTTGGGGGAAAAGGGTTGATCCATCTTCGATGGAGATGATAATTTTTATCTACTGAACAAAAACAATAATAATTCAATAAATAGTAGATGCCCTGTTTTTAGGAGTGACCTCGTGGTCTGGGGATACTGAGACCCAGCCATGAGCTCACTATTTCTGCATGTAATCTAGTTAATTTGAGCGTTCTGGTCGAAGCCGGAGAACAGAAACGTTTTTGTCGACCCGATGTTAGAAAGACCACCAAAAGAACTGGCTTTGGTAGAGACGGTGAAAAACATGTGAAGCTCTGTTTAGACGTTGGCCAGTCGTCTTAGGACCTAGCTTTATTTTCCGTTGATATGTATCTTCCGGGCGAATGTTACAGTATAAAAAACTTAGATACTAAAAACTAGAATTTCAATTTCTCATCCGTATAGAGGGATGCTGTCAGGGTATAATCAAGAGTTGCAAATCTGGCCTTCAATTGTTACTGCTCAAATCTATTTGGTTTTCGAGAAATTGCGTTTTTTTTATTTTCCCATTTGTTTTTTCAAACAAAAAAATTAACCGAACTTCAACTTCTCAACCCTTTAGTGGGGTTGCTTTCAGGGTACATTCAGGGTCTGCATATATGGAGTCTAAGTATGACTGCTCAATATCTTTTTGCATTTCGAGAAATGGCGTTTTTTATGATTTTTTTAATGGTTTTTTTTTTCAAAAAAAAAAACAGATATAAAAAACTAACAGAACTTGAATTTCTCAACCTTATAGTGGGTTGCTGTCATGTTACAGTTAGAGGTTGAAAATCTGGAGTCCAATTATGACTACTCATATTCTTTTGGTTTTCGAGAAGTGGCGTTTTTTATGATTTTTTCATGTTTTTTTTTCAAAAAAATTAGACATGAAGGAAATAGATAAAAAAACACTCCGAACTTCAATTTCTCAACAGTATAGTGGGGTGCTGTCAGGGTACATTCAGGGGTTGCAAATTTAGAGTCCCGGTATGACTGCTCAAATCCTTTTGGTTTTCGAGAAACAGCGTTTTCATTGATTTTTTTTAATTTTTTTTTGTTTAAAAAACTTAGATATACGAGAAATTAAACGAACTTCAATTTCTCAACTCTATAGTAGACTGCTGTCAGGGTACAATCAGAGGTTGCAAATCGAAGTCCAAGTTTGACTGCTCAAATCCTTTTGGTTTTCGAGATATGGCTTTTTTTATATTTTTTCCGCTACGAGTGGCCTATTCGTCATACCGAACACGAGGAAATTGAAAACTAACGATAACTTCTTTGTACGAGCTCCCCGTGCTGCCAATGAACTTCTGCGTCTGAAAATTATATCTTTCGACATGCCCCTGGGAATGTTCAAATCAAAACTGAATAAATTTTTACTGCTTAAAACTTCAACTTTGTTTGATATAAACAGATCATGCACATTCTTTGTCAAATGTTTTTGTAAAAATTGTCGATCGTAAGTTCATTCAATATTTATATTAACCCTGTATCCACTAAATGGAATTAAAGTCTTTTACTACTACTACTACTACTACTAAAAAGAAAAATAGGTATAAAAAACTCAAGATTCAAAAAACTAGAATTTCAATTTCTCAACCGTATAGAGGGATGGTGTCAGGGTATAATCAAGAGTTGCAAATCTGGCGTTCAGTTGTTACTGCTCAAATCTATTTGGTTTTCGAGAAATTACTTTTTTTATTATTTTCCCATTTGTTTTTTCAAAAGAAATTAGATGTAAAAAAAGTTAACCGAAGTTCAATTTCTCAACCCTATAGTGGGGTTGCTTTCAGGGTACATTCAGGGGTTGCATATATGGAGTCTAAGTATGACTGCTCAATATCTTTTTGCATTTCGAGAAATGGCGTTTTTTATGATTTTTTCTAATGGTTTTTTTTTTTTTCAAAAAAAACAGATATAAAAAACTAACCGAACTTGAATTTCTCAACCTTATAGTGGGTTGCTGTCATGGTACAGTCAGGTGTTGCAAATCTGGAGTCCAAGTATGACTGCTCAAATCCTTTTATTTTTCTAGAATTTGTGTTTGTCTGTTTTCTGAAGACTTGATTTTGTAGCACCGGAGGTGCGATTGACGCGCTAGTTGTATCGTATTTGGTGCGACGCTCAGCTTCGCCTCTCTGTCATACTTCACATACAAAAATTACCCGTTTAACCTTAATTACACGTAAAACCACTGTAAAAGTCGAAAATTTGAAAAAGGATGAAATTTGAAGTGATGAAGAGCCAATTTAAAAAAATATAAAAATTCAAATATGGTGGTAGGGGGGGGGGGGGGGGGGGGGAGGGGGAGTTGGCTGTAGAAAAGCCTTTCTTCCAAGCCCGAGAGAGCATATCAGTCAAAATGAATTGAAAAAATAACTATTGATTTTTTTTGAATTTGAAAATTATGATAGCTCTTCCAAACTAATTTTCTGGTCAGAAGAGATTTTGAATCGTGGTGAATATTATGCTACCCCCCCCCCTCCTCGTATGCTACATAATAACAATTTCTCAACCCTATCAACTAAAAGTTCAGTGGTTAAGCATAAATTATTGTGTACAGCGATTTCCCTTCCATTGGCAGAGGGGGGATAGTTAACGAGATCGGAGATTTTAATCTTAAATGCATCGAAAGTGCACTTTTTTGTGATATACACCATTGGAAAATGACTGAATTATGCATTGAAGGTGACTCATTGAACGGCAGTTTTTACATATAATGTTAAAAAACGTGACTTGTTTTTCTTTCAGCTACTAGAGCAAACCGAAAGAATATATAGAGCTACTGATTAGTCCATATGCAAGAACCAATTAGTTTGACAGTTTTGAGCTAATAAATTCAATTTTATCATTGTGAGAAAATGAAATTTTTTATGTGCGTGCTATTTTATTAGTTAGTTGAAAAGTAAAACTACGAGTTCACGTATTATTTACTACTTTTGTAAGTTGTTTCTGCAAAGTAAAATTTTATAATGGTGCTGTCTTAGCAGGTTTTTTTGTCTCTCAATTATACCATCAACAATACACTGCTGCTTGCCATAAATATGGCGGCGTCCATTTTGATCGTATTATACGCCAACTTAAGCTTCATCTACAATTTATTTTTTCCACTCCAATGAAAAACTGAAAACAATCCTATTAAAAGCAATGCAGCTGCTTTTTAGTGAATAACTTATGATTACACTTGTGCTAGATGGCGTAATCTTACGTGGTATTGTTTTTGATTTATTACATAATACCGATCGCATATGTGATCCTTTCGTTCCATCGGTTGTTGGTAATAAAAATAAGTTACAATTAATAAATGTGACTTTTTTCCGGTTCGTGATTGGTTGAAGTCAAAAATTGCGTGAATAGAAGAATAACTCAATTCGACTTTTCATTTTGCATCGAATCGTATCAAGACAAGTTATAAAAGTAGCTCTCTACAATCGCTCTTCGCGCTGTCAAACATCTGTAAAAAAAGTTTCAGATAAATATAAAATGGCACAACAAAACGGTGTTCATTTCGGCAATGGAGATAAAAACGAACAGCATTTCATGTTCTCATCCGAATCGGTCGGCGAAGGACACCCGGGTAAGATTTTTTGAATCTCTTATTCAATCCTAGTGTGTCAAACAAAGTACTCTTGAAGGAAAAGTATGAGCACGTCTCTTTTTTTTCTACTCTCACCTAAGATTTGAATCTTTTCAAGAAACTGATTTTCCCTTTTCATCATATCTATAATAGTTTTTAAAATCTGAAATTGTACACGTAAGGTCAGGCCAGGTAAGTTAAAGCTGATTTTATTGCATTTCGTCTTTCCGAAATATGGCCCCTCATTTAGAAATTCTCACTAGGTAGGCGAAGTTGATTTTGAATTGATTGTGCACAGAGCAGGAGTAATTGCAAACCGAATTGAAACCGCATGTTACAAAATCTCAGTTTGAAAGCTACCTGGAATATTTGCTCAGTTTAATGGTGAAAAATCTAGTTGTGGCTTGAAGTCCCGTTGGCTTGCTGTTCTAGAGTCGTACCGGTGTTTTTGTAGCAGTAGCATTGTGATATGATCGAGGAAAGAGGTTTTTTTTATATTGTTTTTGTTAGACAAAATGTGTGACCAAATTTCGGACGCTGTTCTGGATGCGTTTCTGAAGAAGGATCCGAATGCGAAGGTGGCTTGCGAGACAGCCACCAAGACTGGTCTGATTGTGCTTCTGGGAGAGATCACCTCAACTGCCAATGTTGACTTCCAGAAGGTGGTCAGAGACACTGTCAAGAAGATCGGATACGACGACTCAAGAAAAGGTATGATAGTTGTGGTGATCATTAAAATAAATGTCTGGTGGTTCTAAACTAATGCAAGACTAATTTAGAAAGGCTTAAAACCTCTGATGCTATTAACCTTTTTTCGAATGGGGTTGATTATGCAAAACAAATGATGATAAGAAGACGCACGTTGGTTAAAGTTTGAGTCACGATCGAGCCTGGTTTTTTCAGCTTGCATGAAATTTAGATAGTTTCTTCGAAATTTAGCCAATTGAATAGCGGGATTTCCGTTTGTCTGCTCAAGTTTTGTCGACTTCGTTGCCACATCACGGATTTTTGATTTTTTCCCTGTTTTTTTTTTTTGCTTTTTTAGCTGATGTGTTTCTTCGGCTTTAATGGTTTTAAAATTTGACATATCGGATTCGACAAATATATAAATTAACACATTTTTGATTCGGAGGAAAAATTTCAAAACTTTTTTTCGGCTTTGGTCTTCACCCAAGTTACCGCTGGATGAATTGGTTTGAGTTTAACCATAACATGTGTTTTTTGACGTGTTTTTTTTTCTAAATTGATCTTCACTCGAGCCAAACTGAGTCTTTTTTGCCAATATATACAAATTTTGAAGGGGAGCGTGCGACAAAAAAAAACGCGATTTAGTGGTCGAAATTTTCCAAAAAGTGTCCGAAAACGACTCGCCTCCAAACCGCCCCGCCCTCGAGAAATTTCTACGATCCGCCCCTGAAACAGACAAAAAAATTTTTGCTTGATGCTTTTTTCGTTATTTTTTAAAGTTTCCGTTTTTTATCTCTTTTTGTTTTAGCTGCCGTAGCTGCTTGGTTTTTGAGTGGTTAAAATAGCTGATTTGGACGTTCTTTTTGTTTTGTTTAGGATTCGACTACAACACGTGTTCTGTGATGGTGGCACTGCAGGAGCAGAGTCCGGACATAGCCCAGGGAGTGCACCAGGGCAGAGACGAGGAGAACATCGGAGCAGGAGACCAGGTCATTCTCTTTCCTAATCCTTGTTGCCAATTTCATATATAGATCTTTTTCTTTATTTTGAGGTTCCCTTTGAAAGCTTAGATTATCCAAAAGGCTTTAATTGATCGTTTGGAGGTATGCTGAAAGATTGGTCCCTGTGAAACAAATCCTACTGTAAGGTATATCTATGACTGTTTCCAGGGCATCATGTTTGGTTATGCAACTGACGAGACTGAGAATTGCATGCCACTCACTCTCCATTTAGCACATGGACTCAACAGCAAGTTGGCCGAGTGCAGGAGAGACGGCACCCTCCCCTGGGGACTTCCAGACACCAAAACCCAGGTTAGTAAGAGTAATCTTCTTCGAGGTTTTATCAAAATATCGAAGTTTTGAATTTTGGGTTCGTGAATATATTGTAGAAATAAAAACTGAACTCACAAGGGTACAGTATAGTCTCCAGGCAGCTCTGCCGATGCCGTAAGCGCTCAGACAGCTTTTGAGTCCTGGGTTTTCAGCATAAAATTTTTAAAACCAAGTTCAATCAACTGCCTAAAAATTGACTGAGTGAAATGAAAATAGCATTTCATATGTGCGGTTTCTGGAAAATCGGATTCGAGAGTTGATATAACCCCCTCGTATAGCCAGTATCGATTTTTTTGCCTGTGAGACGTTGGTTTTTTGGAATTAATTTTGAAAAATTTGCTGTATTGAAAGAAAAGCCAATTTTCCATTAAGGAGGCCTAAAACTAGTGGCAGACAGCGTTCTTCATAAAGCCCATAAAGCTTAGCTGTTTGAAGGTTGTTCAAAAGTGCACACCTTAAAAGCTCCATCGCCCAATAAGGTATCTGAATTGAACATAAGTGTCAATTTTTTGTCAGTTGCAAAATGATAACCCCGAAATTCACGCCTTTGATGAGTAGGAACAGCTCGTTTTTAAGTGTTAGCCGGCCTGAGTTTATTACCCTTGCGAGACGCAAGGGTATTGCAATCGGTAAATAACTTTGTTCACAGATGGTTAATGATGCATTGTTAATTGATAGCATGTTTGCTGTATTTGCCTGTAATTGCGTTACATGGACGGTGTACCACTGCATGGTTATTTAATGCGTGGTTACTGTGTTTGCCTGGTGGTTAAGTTAGTAGTTGCCTATTATTCTGTTTTCTTATATTCGAAAAGTTTTGGTAGATTTTCGGCACTAGGTCGTTCGACTTTAATTCTTTTATTGGGTTTAGTTTTTTTATTGTCGATTAATGAGAACTGAATTATTACGTTTGCGATTATTATTCTCGCAATTAGCCTTGTTGGGTTGTTACCGATACGTAATTTTTCTTCCGAGGCAACTTTAACGTTCAGTTGTCTTCGTTGGCAGGTTATTTTTTGTTAAAAATTGTTTTTATTCCAAACAAATTGATATAATTTCCAAACAAATTGATAGAAGTCGATTTAATTTCTGAATTGAGTCTTGAATTAACTACATATAAAACACTCATGGACAATATATAAGCAGTATATTTTGGTTGATTTTCTGCTTTTTAGCTGTCGGTGTTATTGACGGCTTCCCTACCTAAAATTTTGTTTTCTACGATTTTCCGGTTTTGTTTCAAAGATCCTTAAGACTCTAGCTCAATATTTTGAAATGCTCAAAATCAACCCAACAATGTCTTGAAACAAAATAAACAAAATATAGTTTGAATCGTATAGTTGTTGAATCTTAAGTAGTGCGAAGCTCAGCTTCGACTCTGTACAAACTTCAGATATAATTGTTTTCATTGGAGGTAAAAGTTTGCCCGGGCGCAATATACTTGATTCGATAGTTCTGATATTACTTAAAAGATTTATTGAATATCGTTTGGTAGCGTTCTTGAGTTTTCGATTAGTTTTTTCTATAGATATGAATTTTGTCATGGGTATGATTGTGCTCCCCGGTAGGTTTTTTGATCTCTTTGAAATAACTCGATGTACCCACACGAACCATACAATTTGTGAACCTGTAGAAAAAGTATTTCAAATAAACATTTATCGAAGTTAAACCTATAAAATAATGTATTTTTCAAGTATATATATTTTTTCAGCTTGTATCATCAATAAAAATGTAAAAAGTTTAAATTTGAAAAATATTTTTGTTTTATCCGTTATAAAACTTCGAAAGATGTTTACTCGTATATTCTATAGGTCCACAAATTGAAAAAAGTTCAGTTAGTGTTATCAAAAAGAAGTACTTTCTCAATTAAGTATTTTGATGTAACTTTTACGTGTTACATACGGTGATGACATCAGATATACTTCTTCGGTGTATAGTGCAGGCTGAACGTTATTGATGTAAGTATGTAAAAATGTTTGTTGCCCCCGGTGAATCGAAGCATCGGCCCTTTGATTGTTTTCAATCGACGGTTTCCCACCGTTTCTTCTATTCAACAGAAAGAATATCTTAGTTGATTTTGTATTAAAATTTATGTGGGAAATATAGTTTCCGGCTAATAAGACAACTGACCAGACAACAATAATTTTTGATGGGGTCTTAAGACGACCTTTCAATACTTTTCTGAGAAATAGTAACAACTTAAATTCCGCGAGCTATAGAGTGCTTATACGCAAATTCTATTGGCTAATTCTATTTGAAGTTTTATTGTTTTTCCGCTCCCTAATTGAATACTAAAGTTGAGCCAGCATTAGTAGCGTAATTTTAAGAGTAATGAACGTAGTCTAGACTCTTATATAGGTCTTGCCGATTTTTTTGTTTTTTTTTTTAGGAAAAATACTTAAAATATTGGGCTCTTTTCTAGTTCCCTCCTTTCAAGTTCAATTTTGATAAGCTTATTTAATGTTGTCATAATGCAATGAAATTTGGCTTGTTGAACAAATCGACAACTGTGAACAGATTTGTTCTTCATACTTTACAACGTAACATTACGCATTTAGCCGTAATAACACGTAAAACAAACATAAAACTCAGTATTTTATGGGAACTGGAAATGAGCCAAATATTGATGCACTTGGGTGTAATGCACTTTTTGAGTTCAATTGAAATTCATCTGCTGAAAATGATGTAAATATCACTCTTCAGTTGCAAACGTGGAAATGGCGCAAAAAAAACAAACGATTTCTACTTTCGAAATTGGAATTTTTTTGTTAAGACTTCCCAGTGAAATAAAAACTTGATCCCATTTTCTCAAGTTGGCTTCATGCTATCAATAAAGCACCGGTCTTAAATTGTTCTAGAAATTCAAAGAGCGTAAAGGGCGTCTATTTCTTTCTTTGAAATTCGAAAGATTTTTTGAAGAAAGTCAGTGTTTACTTGCGTTCATTACTCTTTTCCAATCTTCGATTGGCTATGTTTGAATTTGTTCTAGGCACCGAATCAATAAAATTTTGTTGCAAAAAGGTAGTTTTAAGGTTAGTTCAATTGTATCGTTTAAATGTCTTCTGTTGTCCTATAATCTGTTATCCTATTATAATTCGATGAACTTAGTGAAGACTCTTATATAGGTTTTGATGATGTTTTAAATGTTTTTTTTTTACCAGGAAAAGTTTTAAAACTTGTTCACACTCAGATTTTCCTCTTTTGATTTCCTTTTAAACTCAGTTCGTTTCATTTGTTGAAAAGCAAACAAGCTCGACTTTCAATTAGCCAAAGTGTGAAGAGCGCAATGAAACATGATTAACTTAAGTTCGGACGTGGATTTTTAGTTTCAGATTTTACTGCGGAATAAAAAGATGATCTATTGGTCCAATTTTCTCAAATTAACAAGAAAGTGTCATTCATAATTTTTTTTGAAATTGAAAAAGCGTTAAAGCCATGTATTTGTTTCTTTGAAATTCCAAAGTTGAAGTTTTTTCAAATATTTTTACGCTTGCGATTAGCAAGCTTCATGAAACCGGAATATAGACTTTTTTGGGCCAACAATTAGGTTGACAGAATCACTTGAGTAATTTCATCTTTGGTTCATACAAAAAGTCAGACGTTAATTCGCGCATGTGGCGAGGAGGTTACGCACCTGCCTGTTACGACAAAGGTCAAAGATTCGAATCCGGCCTAGGCGTATTTTTTGTGTAAGCTGAAAGTTGTTCGCGCGTGAAAAAATCTTTGTCGGACTTCTCTTTGTCTGCTGTTTTGTCGGCTTAGTTACTGCAGTACCAAATTTGCTTTTTGGGCTTTTGTTACTTGAATTAAAAAACATTTCAGTGTATTCTGGTTTTGGCCAATTATTGAGTTCCAAGAAGTTATGCTTTTTTGCTATTTTTTGATAGTTTTTCATGCTATTCATTAAAAAATTTTGAAGTTTGTTCTCCCTTATAAATTCAAGTAGTGGTTCTTTGCATTTATTAGAATGGTAGTACCCATGCTTGAGACGACAAATACTAGAAGTTCGATTTCAGGCGGGACCGGTTTTTTGTCGAAACTGAAAATTTTCGAATATTTTTGTCTGCTTAGGTCCCGCAGAAAGGTTCGGTTTTTTTAAGCATTTTAAAAGCTCTTTCTAAAGTTTCAAATGGTGCAGAAATAATTGTTTCTAGAGTTTTCTGTCCGTTTTTGCAATTTTAACTTTTTAGACTTTTTAAATTTATAATTTGTCTTTTCATTTATTTGTAATCTTAATAATATATTATTGCATTGCAAAAGCTGCGAAGCTCTGCTTCGCCTCTGCTTGCAATTTTTTCCCGTGCTTTCATTGACTCTTTTCTGAACTGTCTGGGTATGTTTTACCTACACTTCTTTCAATCTTTGTTGACAATAAAAAAATTCAAATGTTCCTTCTCTTTTTCTGTTAGCATTATTCCGCCTGAAGTTTTTTATAGATCATAGCAGAGAAAGCAAACAAATATATGTTTAATGTAATACAACAGTAAATCATGTAAAAACGTGATTTGATTACGCCGAGTAAAATTGGAAATAGACTGACGACTTCGATCGACAAGAGTCGACTTAAGTGAATAAGACAAAAGCTGCAAGCGTCGACTTGTAATCGCTTTTTACTGACGTCAGTCTTTTTCTATAGAGTACTTTTTACGAAGCTTCTTAAAATACGTCAATTAGTTTCTGATTATAATGCATACAAAGAGATGCTCAGTTTTGCAATTCGATGGTGAGTTGGCGCTGTGAAGACCAGAGATTTGACAAAAGCAAAGAAAGAATCTGTCTATGTTTAATTACACTTGCGTAATAAAATCACGTTTTTAAACAGTTTGGTGCACACATATGACCTTTTTAAAAATTTTTTCGATTGTCATTTTTTTTTATTTCGTTGCGTTGATTGACTCTTTTCTGTCTTTTGGCTATGTTTGGTTCCGTTTCAATTGAATTCTAATCTCATCCGAAACAGCCAGTGCCAAATGAAAATTATTTAGATGCGATAATTTAATGACGGGCGAAGGAACTATGGCTTTGGTGTCAAGTGGCTGTATTACGCAATTTCAACTACCTCAAAGAATTCAATAGGGGGGAGGAGGAAGGGAAGGCTTGGACCGAGCTGTCATATAGAAACTCTTTCATTTGTGATTTCATAAAAAAATTCTTTGCCGATAACTGAACAGTTCAATTTTCAAAAAATTGATTAGTAACCCGGCAGAAGATGATCCATTCAATCAAGCACTCCCAATCTGTTTGAACAGTTTTATCATATTTAAGCTCTTTGGATTTGTTTGAGAGCTACCTAATGAACGTCAAAATTTCAAAAAATTGTTTTGCATTGATTTCTGTGTTGTTATTGGAGCGTTTTGCGCCATTTGCACAGCAACGTGCTTACTGTGGCTCTTCTTTTCTTTCAAAATGTTCAGATTCATTGTTTAATTATGAGTATAAAAGTGGGCGAGCTGCAAGACATTATGTTTACACTTTTTTGTAAGAAACTCTTACAAAGTCAAAGTCACAAATCAAAAATAAATCATCAGAAAGTAATCAAAATTAGGAATAATGAAGTCATGAACAGTGCTGATATTGTTTCGATTTGAGTCAGTGAGTATGCGTCACTATATAAGTGTTGTCTGTTCAGGTGACGGTGGAGTACAAGAAGGTGGGGGGCAGGTGTGTCCCTCTGCGTGTCCATACTGTGGTCATATCCACCCAGCACACTGACCAAGTCACTCAGAAGCAGATCCAGCAGGACCTCATGACTCATGTCATCCAGAAGGTCATCCCAGCCGAGATGCTCGACAGCAACACAGTCTATCATCTCAACCCCTCTGGAATGTTCCTCATTGGGGGACCACAGGTGCAGACAACTATTCTTATTTTAAAAAAAAAATCGTGATTTTTATTTAAGTTTTCCGATATCATTAGAACTATATACCATCATTAGAGCTGAATACCTTTCTTCAAATATGTCGATGTTTTGTGAATTCAACTTTCGATGGCTGAAAATACGTCAAAATGGATAATGTTAGAAAAATATGATCAAAAACCTCTTGGTTAATGCTCTTAAAACCTTTTATACGAATGCTCTCTCGCCAATGGTAATTTAGAAAGTTTAATACAAGTCATGGCTTGTAGAAAGAGAAGAATAAATCGTCATCTATTTGCAATCAAATCAGCATTGTTTTGATCAGTGACGGCTTTTGAACAGTTGATCAGTGACGGTGTGAAAACTTGAAGTCTGCGGTGAAGATGTGTTTATTTTTGAAAATGAGTTTTGACAAAACTTACTTTAAATTACTTTTTGACCATTCTTTTCAATTCTAGTTTTGAAGTTTTTTTTTCTAGAGCGACGCTGGTCTGACTGGGCGTAAGATCATCGTGGACACCTATGGCGGGTGGGGAGCACATGGGGGAGGGGCGTTCTCAGGGAAAGACAGCACCAAAGTGGACAGGAGTGCGGCCTATGCTGCCAGATGGGTGGCCAAGTCACTGGTCAAGGCCGGACTCTGCAGTCGAGTCATCGTACAGGTAATTGGGAGGGAAAAAAAGAAGGCCGAGGATTTCATTTTCAGAAGTTAGAGTTTACACATGGATTTAAGTAGAAAAATATAGTAGTGAAAAATATTAACTGATTTGCAGCTCCTACTCTGAAACAAGAGCAAGGGTAATTACGTAATTACGAAACGTGAAAATAGAAATAGAATTTTTACCAGTTTGAAACAGTTAGCCTAATTGTGATGGCGAAATGATTCTGTTGATGGTACAGAGAAACAGAAATATTGACAAATACTTCAAATTCGATAAAAAAATCTTAAGTTTAACCCATAAGTATATCTTGAAAACAATCCAAAATTGCTTTTATTTGAGTAAAATTTATATTGTAAGTTATGAAGATGGTCTATTGTAGATCAAAGGGCAATAAGGAACTAATAAGGAGAATATCTTGTTTTCTGTTCCTGTAGATTTCGTATGCGATTGGGATTGCGGAGCCGCTGTCTCTGTTCGTGGACACGTATGGGACGGGAGTGAAGAGCGACGGGGAGATCAGAGAGATAGTGATGAAGAACTTCGACCTCAGGCCAGGAATCATCATCAGGTGAGCAGAAGACAAGACCACACAACACAAAAACACTACTTTAGTTACCCTGACTAATTGATTGCTACATGTTGGGTGGTCCTGGCATGTTGGGTGGTCCTCAACAAGCATGCGAGTCCAGTTCGAAGGGTTTTAATGACGCACCCCTCTCGTGAAATCCCTGCAGTAGCGCTGTATTGAGTTCAAGATTTCGGACCCGACATTACTCATTACTGAGTTATCACAACATATAAAGGTCAAGTGTGGCAAAAAAGAAGTTATGCTTGTAAAGGAAAAATCGTTAGTTGAAACAAAAGTTATAGCGCTATAACCTTGAAGCGTAATTATAGTTTATTCTTAGCTGTAACGATAATTGATCTCAAATAAGATATCAATACCTTAGATTGGTGAAATGATGCGTGAATGAGCTTGATGAAGTTTGCTTCTATATTGCAGAGATCTGAAACTGAAGACGCCTTTCTACGAGGAGTCGGCTAAGTACGGACACTTCGGAAGATCCGAGTTTCCCTGGGAGGTGCCGAAGACCATCAAGTATTAAGCGGATGGGAAAGAAAAAAAGTGAGTTTTGTTAATGCTTTATTTATAAAATACAGCAAAAATACTTGGCGATTGTTAATCGGAGTGTAACTACGTTTTGAAGCGCCAAGTAAATCATTCGAAATATACATGAATACCAATGGCACTTTAACATTCGCCATTATTTGTTGTGGTTGAGAGATGCGTGGTGACAACATTTTGTTTTGATCTCTTTTTTGATTTTGGCGGTGTTATTGCTAAAAACAAAGTATATTTTTAGCAAATTATTATTTTTTGCAAGATCTTATGGATTAAAAGAGATGCGTTAACTTTCAATATAGTGAGATCAAAACCGATGTTGACCGTGTGTGCATCGAGTTGTCACATGTGAGCTCTGTGTGGAAATGTTGTAACACTAACGGCCTAAAATTACCTGCGTCCTTACACGCGACTAATGTCAGAGGAGATTTGATTTTGAAGTTACAGATGAACTTAAGTATGAAAGGTTGGAAAAATATGCTGAATGATGACAAAAAGTTTTTAACAGGACCCCCAGTTAGAATTTATAACAGGAGACCCCCCCCCCCCCAAAGAGGGAAAATTCTATATTGTGAGTGAATGAAATGATTTGAAGCTGGACATGACACTTACAGTCGTGTCCTTGTCATCGAAGCAGTTGAACTTGGTCAGTTATCAGTTAAAACACACTACCCGGTGGTCTAGATGGTCTATGACGTTGACTCCGGTCAATGGGCGAGGGTTCAAATCCCTCCCGGGTATCCTCCGACAACGTCCCAGGTTCAACTGTGTAGATGGCATTCAAAGGTTAGGACGGGTAGGTTTTCTCTAAGTGTTTTTAAAAAAATTTAATTGAGGGGTGATAAGGAAAAGGCCCTCTTAAAACGTGATCCCACCAAAATTGGGTATCTTCGCAATTTAAGTTTTCTTATTAAATATGCATTTTGGTTGAAAAAAAAAGGTTGACAAAAAGGCCCGATAACAGAGGTCCTCAAAAACTGGTGTAGTTGTCATGACACAAAATCTGATTAGTTATCAGAAAGTTTTCATTGTATAATCAGAAAAAAAAGAAATTCGATTATTTTGCTTACATGTCAGTTGAGTGAATTCAAAATGCGATTAACTTGTTTGCAATCAGAGCATGCTTTTTCATGTTGCTTTTGATTTGCATTGCATCGTTTCAATTATGGTAGATACTTTTGTCTAATAGATGCAGTTTGTGTTCGATGCAGTCAAATAGCTTTAGTTGATTCCTCTCTATGTCGACTTGTATTTGAATGTTTGTTCAAAATCTGGTTTTGGAATCCCAGATAAAGCCGCACGTCCTATTTCGCAATTGCATGGAACATCCATGCGAAATATTGGATTCTTGAAACTTAGATGGGAAGAAATAACAACCGGACGCTGCGCAAATGGTTATGAATTTTGTCTTCTAGCTATGATGAAGTGTCAAGAACGTAGTCAAGACTCTTATATAGGTCTTGTTTTTTTAGTTTTTTTTAAGGAAAATTTGTTCACGCTAAATTTGATTTTTCGCAGTTTGAATTTGATTGCTTTGAAACTTCGCTTCATTTCTTTTGTTAAAAGGAAGGCAAACTCCACTATCGAACAGAAAAGGTGTAAATGTCACGAAAAACGGGATCGACTTCTTGTTTTGAAAATGGAATTCAATTTAAGATTTCCCAGCGGAATAAAAAGTTTACTTATTGGTCCAGTTTTCTCATAATGTGTTACGTTTATCAAAAAAAGTGTCAATCATAAATTGCTCTTTTATTTCATTAAGCCATCTTTTTTGGGTGCCCACATCGTTGAGGTCTTCTAACAAGTTATGCATTATGCTTTACCATATTTCGCCGCCTTTCATTATTCTTCATGACGCTTTTATAGGCCGCTGATTTTTTTTTTAAATATTTCATTCAATTTAAAATATTGATGCACTTAGGTATAATGCAGTTTTTGAGTTCAATTGAAATTCATCTGCTGAAAGTGAAATAAATAGCCCTCTCGAAATAAGAACGTGGAAATGGCGCGAAAAAACGTGAACGATTTTTAGTTTCGAAAGGGGAATTTAATTTTTAGATTTCCAACGGAATAAAAATTTTACCTATTGATACAGTTTTCTCTTGTTGGGCTCATGTTTAAAAAAAAACTGGCAATCGTATAATTCAAAGAGATTAAAGGGCATCTGTTTTTTTCTTTGAAATTCGGAAGTTGCGATTTCAAGAAAGTCAGTATACTTTTTTTGATGTCTACTTGTGTTCATTACTCTTTTCCAATCTTCGATTGGCTATGTTCATAAAATACTAAACTGGTATCTCTGGCTGCACCTGAGCCATTAGTTTGCTTTCAAGTGACCGTGGCGCGGTTGTATTGACGCGAGAATCCTAATTTACAGGTAGGAGATCCAAATTTACAGGTAGACTTTTTGCTGCATAAATTTGGCAGTTTAATAGCAGCTGTAGCTTTTTTATTGCTTGCTTAATGGTTAATATTGGTTTGTTGATGGGTTGCTAAATTTTCACCCGATAGTAGTGCACATGTGGGACTATTTATTTTCATGTCGGTGGTTCGATTCAAGCGCATCGCAAAATTTTATTTTTCAATTCACGTTTATTATTTTTTCAATTTGTTTTTGCCTGTTTAGAGCTACTTTTTGCCCTTTTTTGCAAAAAGTATGTCTATACATTATGAGGCGGAATTTTTCAATGGATAGGAGCGTAACTTGGTATGTGTAGGTCTCTGAAATCCAGGTACAAGTCTTTAAATATGGTAACATTTTGTCGGAACGAGCAAGGAAAACGAAAGAACAAAGGAAGCACAGTGGGAGCGTCTTTGTTGCGGAATCCGCTTACAATTTACAAAATACCCAGCTTGTGTTCGTCATGTATAAAAAATGTTGAATTCAGCTCAATTACACTGGCTAAAAGAGGCAAAAGGCACTCTCCGATTATGAAAGCCGAAATAGCCCAAAAAAAACGTGATTGATTCCAAGTTTCGCAAATGCATATAGTGTTTTTCCCAGCGGAATAATTTTTTCACTAAAAGAAAGGCAAGTTCAACTATTAAACAGCAAAAGTGTAGAGGTCACGAAAAACTTAATTGACTTCCTGTTTCGAAAAAGTCAGTGATTTTTTTCCATTCTTTGTGGCCTGGCTGACATTTTTCAACTGTCAGTTAGATATATTCGTGGATGTGGTTAATAGTAAAGAACCTAGTGAAGACTCATTTATAGGTCTTGCTGATTTTTTGTTTGTTTTTTTTTCAGGAAAAATTTATAAAAGTCTCTAATAACTACAGATGTGCATTCATACATATTGATGCATTCATGAATGCACTTAGGTATTTAAGCCACTTTTTGAGTTCCATTAAAGTTCAGCTGCTGATAGTGACGTAAATAGCACTCTCTAAATACGAACGTGGAAATGGCACAAAAAAAACGTGACCAATTTCTAGTTTCGAAAGTGAAATTTATTTTTAAGATTTCCCAGCGGAATAAAATTTCGATCGGTTGATCCGGTTTTCTCAAGTTGGTTATTGTTATCAGAAAAGCGACAATCATAAATTGTTCCAGAGTTTCAAATAGCTTAAAGGGCATCTATTTTTTCTTTGAAATTCGAAAGTTGAGATTTTTTCAAGTCAATTTTTTTTCTATGTTTACTGGCATTCATTACTCTTTTCCAGTCTTCGATTGGCTATGTTAAGGAGTAATGAACGTAGTGAAGACTCTTATATAGATCTTGCTGATTTTTTTTTCCGGAAAAAGTCATAAATTTTTAAATTTTGATGCACTAAGGTATAATGCACTTTTTGAGTTCAATTGAAATTCATCTGCTGGAAGTAACTTAAAAGCAGTCTCCAAATACGAACTAGGAAATGGCGCGAAAAAACGGAACGAATTCTAGTTTTGAAGATTTCCCAGCGAAATAAAAACTTTACCAATTGATCCAGTTTTCTCAAGTTTGGTTCATGTTATCAAAAAGCGCCATTCATAAATAGTTCTAAAATTCAAAGAGCTTAAGGGGCATCTGTTTTTTTTTCTGTGAAATTCGAAAGTTGAGATTTTTGAAGAAAGTGTTTTTTTTATGTTTACTTGCGTTTATTACTCTTTTCCAATCTTTGATTGGCTATGTGTTACTTTTCTCGATTACTAAATTGAAATTTTTTACTCATCTAAATTGACGTGTAGACTTTATTTCATTTGTCTTGTGGAGTTTCTCCTTTTTATTACTTATTCCGAAAAGCTTGTTCTGTGACTCCGCCGAACACTAATGAGAAAAACTGAAAATGGGGCTGAAATAACTGTAAATTAATTCCTATGCTGAAATGGAGACAAACTAAGCTCATCAATGAGAAAAATGAAAGTGACACCAAAAAACGAGATTGAATAAAAGTGGGTTTTATTTTTTAGATTTGCAGCCGAGTTGAAAAAATTACCTATCATAACAATCAAGTCAAAGAACGCAAAGATTTTTAATATACTTGTAAATCAAACATGTTTTCGGCTTCCTCGAGTTCATTTTCTATTCCAACATGTCACTTGACGTTTTTTCGCTCAACAGCTGTATTTGGTTTGAACTGTTTGTATCTTATGTTTTATTGACTTAGTTTGCGTCATTTAAAAAGAAACGTATATTTTATCTTTTTATAGTCGAACAACGTAGTGAAGAATCTTATATAGGTCTTGGTGATTTTTTTTTGTTTTTTTTTCAGGAAAAAGTCCTAAAATAATGATGCACTTAGGTATAATGCCCTTTTTGAGTTCAATTAAAATTCAACTGCTGAAAGTGACGCAAATAACACTCTCCAAATAGGAACGTGGAAATGGCGTGAAAAAAACGTGAATGATTTCTAGTTTCGAAAGTGGAATTTATTGTTAAGATTTCCCAGCGGAATAAAAGCGTTACTATTGATCCCGTTTTCTCAAGTTGGGTTCACTCGATATTTTGAAAAGTTGGGGGGGGGGGAGTGGAAAAGAGCCGAATTGTGTTAGTTTTATCAAAAACGTGTCAACCATAAATTGTTGAAATTGGAAGAGCCTTAATTTTTTCTTTGAAATTAGATTGTTTTTTTTTCTAAAAACAAGCCAGTATTTTTTTGACTCCTCGCGTTCATTGACTCTGTTCCAACTGTCTGTTGGCTGTGTTTGTTTTTCCGAAGGGGTTGCGTAAAAATTGAGATTTCACAACTTACAAAAGTTTTTTATGACAACAATTTTTTTTCGGCTCAACGAGAGTTCACCCAATTTTGTCGGCTTAGTTGCCGCCACATAAATGTTTCTGCTTATTTAACGCCGGTATATGTCTTAATGGACGCATTTTTCATAAATTGAACATCATTCCAGAAAAATTCTTTCTTTCATTTTCTGTCTGCCAGCTTGCAATGCTATGTTTGAGTTGTATCTCATGTGGTGCGAACCTCAGCTTCGCATCTGTGTTATAATATGTTCAGCCCTACAGCGTCCGTTTTTTTGTTCTTCTTTCTAACGCATTCTATTATGTGCCCGTTTTAAGATGTCTGACGTAAATTGGGCGATGGATGAGTAAAAATGTAAATTTCGAATTAGTTGCTAATGAGTTTACAAGTCCCCTTAGATTTGATTTCCTCATCAGGAAATAGAAATCTCAGAGAAATCCCCTTGTGCTCAATCTCTTGAATAATTAACCGGATCAATCCAATTTTGGTGGTGGCTGATCACATCAAAGATGTGGCCTAAATCTTTTAAAAGCTGGTTTTTTCGTCATATCAAAAAATAAAAAGAAACAGGCGCTTCAACAACGAAGGGTATTTGCATCAAAAAGACAAGGACTGTTATGTTTTCTAATTAAGAAAAGCGGTTTTTGCAATTGGGCCTTTATTAGTTTTGCTCACTTCGTTTCGTTTTCAAATAAGTCTTCGTTTTTTGTCTTTTTTCAGTAGATTTTTGAGATGTGTGAAATCATGATTTAATCATTTTGAACATGCTAAAGTAATGATCATATTGTCATCGACAGATCTAAGGTTTTCTCGAGGGGGTGAGATTTTTTGAAAATAAAATTTTGTCGACCTTTTCTTAGGTCGAACAAATTGATTTTCTGAGCGCTCACAGCACACTTAAAGGACCCTATAAGTTTTTATCTTGAAAAAAAAGATGTCAAAAATGCCGCTTGTTCGACGCGCGCTCCCCCTCAAAACTAGTATATATTGTCGCTAAAGGAGCTTTTAGAAAATATTTGGGGTCGGTAGTCGAAAATGGATGTCATCAAATAATACCAAAGGGAGACCCTTTGATTGATAAGGGGGTCGAACCCCTGAAAAAAAAGAGGCAACCCCCCTAAATCCGGTCCTGAATTACTTATATATCCCCCACGAAAGTAAGAAGGGGGAAATCAAAAATATGTGGCTAGTTAATGCCTCTCACTCGCAATCAAGAGGTTGATGTTTTGAAGCACAATAGGATCAATGGGGTCAAGCTTACACGTTTTCTTTTTTCTTTCAATGAATGGATTGACGTCACTTAAGATCTCAGGTTTTTCTGTCAGGAAAAGCCTTCAAAGTTGTGAAGTTTAAATTTCATTTTTCGCTGTTTGATTTCCTGTCAAATTCCTTTTTTTTAAATAAGTTTAAATCATAGAAGAATTTTGAAGCTCGAAAAGTTTTTTTTTTTCGATTTGATTTTTTGGTTTCTTTGGCAATGTTTTCGTTTTGTTGAGTTTATGAACGCTTTTCCTAGTGTTCAATGTCCATATTTTGAATAGATTTCACAAACTTTTTATCATTTTTGAGAAAGACTAATTTGAGATCACGGCTGTTTGATGTTGTTTTGATATCACTAAATTTAAATCAGGGTTGAATTCATTCTCTCCAGTAATTTCTTATGCTTATGTCAGTTTATTCTCGCTCTGATAAAATGCATTTGCCCATGCCAGGTTTTAAATAGTTATGCCATAAAATTGACCAATATGTGTTTCTGGTGGTTTCCTGAATGGAGCAAGCTACCTGAAAAAGATTGACCAAAACGAGAATCGGTAATTCAACTGATCCGTTTCGGGGCTTTGCATTCATTTTGTTCATATTTTTTTCATGGTGCCAGGTGTTACGTCCAACATAGCCTGCATATTTTTCTCAAATGCCCCGTTTGCGTTGAATAGTGTTTGCAGAAGTGGTGTTGCACGTTTTTGAATAGTAGAAGTAGTCGTTTGATTTTATTTAAGTTTATACAGGTCTGAACCCCAAAACGTAAGTGAGTTTAAAATTTAGTTCCCTTTTAAACTGATTGTTATGTGTGATAGCGAATGAAATAGTTTGAGAACATTTTGCTCGTAAAGACATTAGAAAAAAAGAAATAAGGATAGCCGGTAACTGCAAGTAGCACAGAATGTTCCGACCATAGTCTCACAAAATACTACGTTTTTTCAAATTTTTAAGGTTTTTTGGCGTGGTGTGATAAAATGAGCTGAACAAAAACTGGGAATTAGGTATACTCGACAGCCATACTAAAATGAGCAAATTGAAAACAGTTTCTTTAAAAAAATGCCTGAAAAACGAAAAAAAAATCGAAAAGTTTGCGAATTTTTGAAAATTTTGATGCCAAAATGCGCTTTAATACTCAAAATAAACTAACTTTACGCAAGTAAAACTAAGGTTTTCCGTTTTAATTTAAGCTGTTGTAAGCTTTTAGTCAAGTTAAATAAAAATGCTCGCTCGAAATAAGACGAAAAATCAAAAATTTCAAACCTGTTTTTCTCGGCATTGGGAAAATTTTTTAAATTTTTAAATGTTCGAATTTTTAAATGTACGACTGTAAGGTTTTAATATGATATATCACTCAACCCAGTCCGATCATTATTTGTGGTACATGATTTTGCGTGGAAAACAAAAAGCAAAAAAAAAATAAAACAAAACACCCGAATACAAAGTTCCTCCCCATTTTCAATGGTCGGAACAATAATGACAAGGCTTTTGGATTCATTTTGGCTTAGATACTATATTGGCTTAGATATTACAGGGCTTAGACTGGTTCATTATTGCTAAATTTACGACATAATGAACCTGTCTATCTGTTGTGTCAGTTGCTCACCCTTTGAGTTTTTTTAGTTCTCAAGCTGAAGTGCATTATTCAATGTTGTGTCAATACGAATCACATCTTAGAGGAACATCCCAAAACCAGTGACAGAAAAAACTTGATATCCTTGACGATGGATGCGTGTTATAGTTTCATGTATATTCTATGCTTTCTTAAATCTTATCCTAAAAGAATTCCAGTGTCAATTAGGGAGTTTGTATCATTTGTTTTGAAACTTTTTGTCATTCTGAGTTAAAACAAGCCAAAGATGAATGACTATTCATGTTAAATTTGTACTAAAATTATATTTTCCGATGTCAGAGCAATGCTTCGTTTCACAAAAATTGGCTTTAATTACGTTTTGAATGTGGTTTGTTCAACAAAAACGTGAACAAAAGAAAAACGCGTTGGTCACAAGTATACCGGTGTACTCGTGTGCAGGTATGAATCTCTTTCCACTTTGATGATTATGAAAATACGGCGAATACCAATTTCATTTGGCGTAATGTGTTGATTTATCTGTTGATTTCAAGAATCCAATTCTTTCATTGGTGTTTGTATATTTTTCAATTTAGTTTCTCCTGCGCTGTTTTTTTTGGTTGAGACGGATTCGCTTGAAATATAGTTTAAAGCAGTACTTTTGAGGCTATTCTCATGCGATCAAGACTCAATGCGCGAAAATTCTCAGGCAATCAATGCTCTTTAAGCTGGTCTAAACTGACTGATTAAGTGTAAAAGAACAAAGTGATTTTCACTTATATAGGTCTTGACAATTTCTTGGTTTGTTTTATTTTCGAAAAAAACTTGAAATTTTTTCACGCTCAACTGTATTTTTTTGCGGTTTGATTTCTTATGTTCCGTTCATTTTACTTTGTTAAAAAGAATGCAAACTCCACTATCGAAAATCAAGGTCACAAAAAACGTGATGGGCTTCTAGTTTCGATAGTGGAATTTCTCAGGGGAATAAAAAATTTGCTTATTGATCAAATTGGGTTAACTATCTAAAAAGCTCCAAGCATAAATTGTTCTTGAAATTCGAAAAGATTCAAGGGTATATATTGCTTCTTTGAAATTCAAAAATTGAAGTATTTGCAAAAGTTAAAACAGTTTTTTCTTTCGGTTTCCTTGTGTTAATTGAGTTTTTTCCTACTGTCTGTTGGCTATCTTTGAATTTTAGAAATAATTTCGGAGTATGTGGTCTGATTTTTTTAGGTTTACAGATTAAAAATGGAGTAAAGCCAATTGATGAGAAAGTGACTTCTTTCTTTCTACCACAATTTTAACACTAATTTAGTTTTCATTCTCTGGTTCGTTCAGTTTTCACCTATTTTATTTGCGCTGTTCTGAAAAAAATTGCAGAAAAGTAAGGATAAAAGAAATAATGAGGTTTAAATGATTTTACCCTTGCGATAAGCAAGTGTATTGCTGTCGGACACTAGACATTTTTTTCATAAACAATTTTGTCCACAAGATCTGCACTTCTAGAGGATCTTCACTTCTAGAGAAAGTTACACATGTAGTATCTTTCTCTAGAAGAGACTTAAGTAGTAATTAGTTCAAACCCATTTCAGGTAGTAATTATCTTTTCAAAAAATTGTTCAATTTTTCTTCGTGTTCGTGGTTTTCTAAATTCTGCCGGTTCATCTTTTTTTAAAACCTCATTTTTTATCTGGCAGAGTTTTTATTGGGTTTTTAAAGCATGGGTTTTGTTCCAGGCTAAGCAATTTTTACCATGACTGATTTTGAGTTTCGAGAGCGAAATATATTTGTTTGGGATTATGTGTTTCAGTTCGGATGGTTCGTAAAAACTTTGAAATTATAGGAAATTTTTTATGACAAAGTTCTGTTTTTGGCTCAACAGGTTTCGACCCCAAGTTTGTCTCCTTTGTTGCCGCTGGGTAAATGATTCCCATTTATTAAGGCCTCTTTATGAACATCATCCGATACAAGTATGAAGTTTTTGTAGCTGCAATTTTTCAACTTTTGTCAAGTTATTTTTTCAATTAATTTTTTCCAACTTAATTTTTCAGAAATATTTTTGACATCTGTCTTTTTCATTTATTATGTTGTAGCGCAATGTGTTTTTTTTTGCATAGCAAGTGTTGCGAAACTCCACTTCGCCTCTCCGTAAAGACTTATCAGGAATAAGTATTCCAATTTGTTCACGCTCAATTTTGGTTTTTCTCGAAAATTCACTTTTTGGTATAAAACTTTCGGTATATGTGCATTTTTTGAGTCTAATGCAAGTGTAATGAGAGAAATGACGCAAAAAGCATGATCGATTTTTAGTTTCGAAATTGGAATTTAGTTTTAGGTTTCCCAGAGGAATAAAATCGTTTCCTGATATACTAGTTTTTTCAAATTGGGCTAGTTATATCAAAAAAGTATCAACTTTAAAAGCTTATGAAATTTGAAGAGCTTTTAAGGCCATATATTTTTGTTGTAGTATTTTTGAAAGTTGAAGTTTTTTCAAAAAACCAGTCATTTTTGTTGTTGTTTTTTGAGCGTTCCTTGACTTTTTTTTCTAACTGTCTTTTGGCTATGTTCGTTTATATAGATGTCAGATTTGATTTTCGCGGTTTGTCTTAGTTTTTTTCCTAGTTCAATTGGTTTCTTTTATTGAAAGAAATCAGTCTCCACATGTAAACAGCCAAATTATAATGGTCATAAAACATGAAAACTTGATTTTTCTGAACTCACAGCAGAATAAAAAAGTTACTGATCGAGTTTTTCTACATTCAATAACTTCAAGAAAAAATCTTATCTTTTCACGAAATTCAACTAGCCTTAACATGCTGTGTTCGAAAATTGAAAAATGATTTTTTCGATGTCCTTGTTGTTTGAAAGTTTTTGATGTCTTTGAGTTGTTTTAGACTTTTCTAACCATCTGCTTGCTATGTTTGTTTTTTCATTTCAGAAATCATTGGGAAGTTTGTTTATGCTCCATTCATGTTTTTGCTAAATGACTTTGAAGTTTGACTTCAAAGTTAATTCAAGTTAGTGAAAATTTGATTGTCCTTTAACGCGCAAAACTATGTGGGGCAACATGTAGCAACTGTTTTAATGAAGCTTAATTTTTTAAAGAATTGGATGACGTTTTTCAAGCAAAATTTAGTACATAATATATGAAAGTCAGATTGAATTGATTGATATATAATTTAAAATACCGAATAGTAGTACCGTGAGCTACGATAAGTTTCCGGAAAGTTTTTCTCAATTTTGAGAGAAGACGGATAGAAAATTAGTTCAGTAGACTAATGGCATGCGAACACATTAAATGTTCTTCTTCAAACATAAACTGGCATCGACTTAAGGACGCGCATTCAGGATGCCCAATTTTGGTTTTTCGTGGTTTGGCGTATAATATTTTTCAAGTTCGGTTCTATTTATTTTTTAAAAGGAAGCAAACTCCGCTATTGAACAGCAAAAGATTAAAGATAACCAAAAACCTGATCGACTTTAATTTCGAAAGTGAATTTCATTTTTCAGACTTCTCAGCGGATAGAAAAGTTTTTCTATTGATTCAGTTTTTGCAATTTGAGTTTCATTTTATCAAAAATGTGTCAATCATTAATTGTTCTTGAGTTTCAAAGAGCTGTAAGGCCCAATTTTTCCACTTTCAAATTGAAAAGTTGAAATTTAAATAAAAAACAAAAGTTGACACTGAAGTCCGTTTTTTTCTCTTTCCTTGCGTTCGTTGTTTCTTTTCCATCTCTCTGTTAGCTGTGTTTTTTTAAAGTCAGGTCAGTTTTCGTTTTCAAATTTCTGAGCAGTAAACAAACTTCACCAATCTTTCCAACTTTCTCAATTTGAGTTAATTTTATTAAAAATGTCAAAATGGGAGGGGAGGAGGAGGGCAACGCAGTCAACCGTTGTGTAGGATGGAAAACCAGTCATCCGTAGTGTAGCGTAACGGTATTAGACTATAAGATATGTAACGGCTTTTTTCACGTATACGGTTACTACATCAAGGTCGAAGTTAGCAAAATTACTGCGAAATCGGCTTCCTAATTTGATTACCTTATTGTTCTCGAAATATGATTTTTTTTTAAAGTTTCAAGTAAAATGAGATTTCAAAAGCATCACATTTAAATTTCTCAGCCCTTTATTTCGGTACGTTCATGATACTCTCAGGCGTTTGCAGTTTTGCCTCCAAATATGTCTGCTCAAAACTTAAGTTTCTGAGGTACACATCTAGCTTTTAGTTGTGCCTTCGCTTTTTTGAAAATTGTTTGAAAAACTTAGATTAAAAAAATCATCTGTAATTTTGAAAGTCTCGACTATATAGTGTGGTGCTGATATGTTACTCTCAGAGGTTGCAGACCTCCTAGCGTTACTGCTCAGATCGTCCAATCAGCCTCGAGATCCAGCAAGCCATCCATAAAGCCCTTCAGCGATTCATTAATCGATCTTCTTAACAAGCTATTCATCCATTTTATCCAGCTAGTTATCTTTCTATCTCGCGGTGTTTTCATGCATCAATCCAAACGTCCGTCCTTCAAGCCAGCCATTGATCTAGCTATTCATACAACGATACATCCATCCATCGAGCGATCCTACCAGCCAAGCCATCAAGTCAACCATCAAGCCATCAATCGATCTAGCCATCAATACAATGATACATTCATCCGTCCATTCATTCATCAAGCGATTCACCCAACGACCTCTCCATTCAGTGAGCCATTCAGCCATCAATCTATCCAACCAAACATCCATCAGCCAGTTCTTAAAAAATTGGTTCATCCATTCAGATATCCATCGATCCAGCCATCTATCTAAACAAAAGCCAGCCAGCCATCCATCCATCTATCCGAGCAGTTAATTCATCAAACGATCCCTCCATTAATCAGGTCATCCATTATTCATCTAGTCATCCATTCAACTAGCCATTCATCCATCTAGCCATCAATCATTTCAGACAACCATCCATCTAGTAGACCATCCATTGACCAATGCAGCCAGCCATCTAGCCATCCATTCAACAAACCACTCATCCATCGAACCACTCATCCATCGAACCACATATTCATCAAGCTATCCTTCCATTCATCCAAACCATCTATCTAATCATCCATCTAGTCATCAAGCCTTTCAATCTATCCATCCCGCCGTCCTTGGACCCAACCATTCATTTATCAATTTACCAGCCATCTATCCATTAATAATTCATCATTTCATCTAGCCATCCGTCCATCCAACTAACCATCCATCTATCCATGAAGCCCATTCATCTAGGCATCCAACGATCTAGTCATTCACTCTTTCATCCATTCATCCAGCCAGTCACCCATCTATCAACATCCATCCCCGTTGATCTAGCCATTCATCCATCTAGATAGCCTTTTGTCCCACATCCATATATTAAATCATGCGTTTATCTAGCCATCCATGCATCCCACCTGTCATCCATCATCGATCTAACCGTCTCCATTCAACCAGCCATCCATCAACCTGGCCATGCATCCGTTCAGCCGTCCCACATCCCCTCTGTTCTCCATACAGCCAGCCATCCATCCATTTAGCTATTCAGTCAGCTATCAATCCATCCATCTATCCAACCATCAATTCATCCAGCCATTCAACAAAT